TATATATATTATTTAATTAATATAAATAATAAACATTATAATATAATATTGTATATAAAAATCTCAAATCTAACCTAAAATGAGGAACATAAGCAATTTATCATAAACTGGCTAGCAATACTTGCATTACCGCACTGCAGAGTGTAAAGAGCTTGTGTAGTACAGAAGCTAGAGCAAAAAAAAGTACAAATGCCAAAAAAGTGACAGGAAAGAAGAAAAATTGTTTTAACCATAAGTTGCTTATAGGAAGTGCTTTGTGTCCATGTAAGTGTCATGATGTATGTGGAGGGATACCTGGTCTGCTGTAGGTCTGAGGTGAGCGGGAAGGCGTATAGCGGCCATAACCCCCTACAGAGCTATTGGAGCTGGGGCTTGAGGGCCTCCTCTGCCGGGGAGACTTTTCCCCATCTCCCTACAAACAAACAGACAGTATTTCAGTATGAAATGAACAATGTTAAGCAGTAATCACTATGGCACTGGGACACACAGCAGGAGACTATAAAGCTGGAAAAGAAACACAGATGTGACCAGTTTACAATAATCAGTCCTAACTAGTAATAGGCTGATCATTGAGTGATTACACCGCAGAGTTTTCAAATGGTGAAAAACACACAATAACAGTTCTACTTCACAAACAACTGTTCACAAAATATGAGGAAACACAGGGTCTCATTCACTAATCATGCACATATCTGTGTGTAAAATATGTGTGAAACATTTTCACTTAAGAATTGTGATTCATCAAGTTCAGTAAATGTATTCTAATGTTTATTAATGGCAAATTCTTTATTAATTATAACAATAGTTATTATTAACTAAGTGACCCTACATTAACTCCCTATGTATTTCAGAGCAACACATTATTAATCTGGCACAGATTCACAATAAAAATCAGAAATAAAAATAAGAACCTTCTATAAATAGAAGTACACAATTTATATGCCATGATTAGTGAACGAGACCCACTGAAACAATAACAAGTCCTGTTTCTTCATGTCAACTCTACTATACCTCAGTTGGAGTAGGGGTGAGTTGCTGTGGTGACTAAACAAAGAAAGCAAATGAGTAAGATGGACTTGAATGCAATGATAGATATGTTCATGAAAAAAATGAGATTTCCTCCTAAGTTACATGACTGAAACTACTGTAGTACATCAATGAATTAGTGAAATTATGATTTTTGGCCAAGCCATGTTGCAATGATGTTGGATGATGAGTAAAGATGAATACATTTAAAAATGGCGTTATTGTAACAAATGTTGTAGCTGTCATATGAGTAATTATGCTATCCTTTTGCTTTTAAGTCACCTATAAAGACAAAAAACTGTCAAAAATGAGAAACAGCAAACAGAGGACATGTATTTGTTATTCCCTCATGTAAGTCTGTATGAGGGTGTGTGTGTTTGTACCTCTCCAAAAGTCCTATCCTCCACAGGGTAGCTAACATAGGGCGAGTATGAGAGCATGTCAGGTCTGTCAATGTTGTAGATCGCTTTGATTTTAGGAAGAGCAGCCAGGTCCTTGTAGTCCAGAAGTTCATCACCCAGCTTTGCCTTAAGAAAGAGCAACATTATGGCTTTATATATAACTCTCTCTACGCATGCAGTTATTCTTAGCGTTGTGTGTTGCTGCCCACTGGTGGTGATCTTGAAGAAATGAAAAGTAATAAAGCAAGGAATCATTTTCAAATGCACTTACATAGATAACTCTGCTAGGGGAGCCCGATGCACTGGAGGCAGGAGCAGAGGTGATGCTCTCAGAGGAGGTTCTCCTCACCTGGAAACAAAAACAATAATGGTCTGCCATTTTTAAAATCAACAAACAACAAGCAACCATAAAAACCATTGAGAATCTTATTACAATAATATGATTTATTTGTCATTTTATTTATTAGTAAGTAATGCATTGACAATGTCTTCTCTATAGCAACACACTTATTTTAGAGTACCTGCCCAGATGATGTTAAAACCTGTTCTTTGGTTCCTAATTTCTACTGGGTGGGAGTGACGGTAGCCTACGGTGGCCTGACAGGCCCATTTTGGACTTTAGTGAGTATTCTATTAAAACTAAAAGCAGGTTGGGAGGTAAGCCCATGCAGAAGGAGAGGGCCGCATGTCACAAACCTGCTCAGGTACATTGGAATGGAGATCACTGAGCTGAATCCGCACCTGTTTCTGCAGGGAAAGGGTTGTTACAGTGAAGCGCTTCCACATACTGCATCTCACCTTTGTTTAACTAGCTGAATTTACTGTTGATGATGATTTTGCATAATATATTTCAGAGCATATCAGCTACCTAAACTATAGAGCTCATTTTCATTTTGTAACATCTTAAAGGGGTCATATGATGTGATTTCAAGTTTTCCTTTCTCTTTGGAGTGTTACAAGCTCTTGGTGCATAAAGAAGATCTGTAAAGTACAAGGCTGGCTGTGCACAAAGGCTATTTCTAAAAAAAAAAAAA